GTAAACAGGTTATAATGCAATGAAGCGGGTAGGATAATAGAAGCATGTTCGAGATAGAGAAGTGAGTTAACATCTGCAGAGCGATTCAAGGATCATGGAACTTTACTGTCTAAAACAATATATGTTTTAAAATATGAGAGATTTGTTAGGTATAGAAGTGAAGTAAAAGGATTCTAGGTCGAAGAAGCAGCCTCTTCAAAGACTCCTTATACATAAAGACTAGTTTTGTAACATCTGAACATAAATCATGAAGGAATGAATGGTAAGAGATGAGATAAAGAAACGTTACTGTCATGAGTTTGACTTTTATATGATGTGGCTTTATTAAAGGTATTTAAGTAGGAAGAAAAGACTAAATTGCATATGAATTATCCTTCTAATGGAAATATAAAAGATCAGAAAGAATGAAGGCAACACGCAGAGAAGAACAACTGTTACACTATTGCACTAGTCCATGCAAGCCTGAAAATAGTCTGGGCAGGACAGGTTAGGGCATGGTGGTGGTAATACAAAGGTCCAGAGTTTGACCCCTGTACCTGGCAGCCACCAAAAACAACCTATTTTATATAATCTTGGAGAGCAGCAGTTAGTAGGGTTTGTTGACTGCTTTGCATGTAGGGTATGACTGAAGAGAAATGATACAGAATGATTTTTAAGTATCTGGTTTAAGAAGTGATCTTGAATAGGGGATAGAGAGGAAAAAGCAGGTTGTGGAGATAGACGTGTGATTGTGAAATTTTAAAAAATGGAACAGCTGTTTCATACATTTTGTCCAGTTTTCTTTCTGCTGTAATTAACTACAAAAATGCCCAAAATGTATGAAAAAGCTGGTTCCATTCACTGCACACCAAGCAGTGTAGAAAATGGTCTAGGGGAGAACAGATATAAAAGATACCAGCCCATAAGTCTTCCCTGCTTTCTACCTGTAGGCGATTCCCAGAACCCAGCACAGGGAAGGGAACCAGCAGAACACAGTGGTCTCACTGAGCTGAGAAGACAGACATTAAAGCTCAGGAGCTGCATGTGGCTGTAATGTGCAGGGAAGAGTGTGGAAGGGGAGGGAGCTCCAGAGACAGCACTCCCGAGAATGGGGACAAGAGTCCCCTTGAGTCAGTTGATGAATACTAAGCTTCATGTGCACCTCCAGGGAGCTGGAAACTAAGCAATTTCCAGAGATGCCACAGGGCTGGGAGAGGTTTGAGTTCCATCCAGCCAGAGGGGCAAGATATCATTAACCCCTGGGGCAGTAGGTGAAGTCCCTTTAGAGTAGTGTTGCTTTGTGTTGCTTCACCCCCCATGGATTTGTCACCCCACTTCCCCTGGGTGATGGAGATGCAAAGGATTACTCAAAGCCCATCTCTTCTGAGCAGTGAGAGGCCCCAAAGTGCTTAACTTTCCCGGGACCCTCCAGCAGTGAGAGGCATCCTTCCTTGGGAAAATTAACCCCGAATTGGGCTTCCCTTCCTGCATTTATTTTCCAGACCAGGAAGTTACAAGAAGAGACGTAGGTGGGTTTATAGTTTAACAATATAGGCTGGTAACTTTCAGTGAAACAAGCCAGATGACATTCCAGTAGACAATTAAGTGCTCCTATCAACAACAGCCTGATCTTAGCAAACATTCCTTCTTACAGCAATTTCTCAGTATCTTTACACAAGAATCAGTAACTTGTCTGTCCTAGAGCCAGCAACCTTGCTCTGCCACAAATCTTTATCTTACAACAGAGACTATAGCCTGAGGAAAATTTCCAGTCCTCTTCAAGGTCAATATTTGAAACTGCAAGACTTTGGAAAACCAGGCCCTGTGAAGTACATATGCTTTTTAGTATATTCCACAGAGTAGGGTCTATTAGCCCTGAGTAAAAGCTGCCCTGAAAAGATTAACATCAACCTTTGAAAAGATCAAGCTGATCTACAAATTACTTACCTGCTTACTAAAACTAAAGACTTGTTTAAAAAGGAACAAAAAACTACTTGCTTTTCATTCCAAACAGGATAGAAATAAAAATACAACATCTAAAAAAAATAAATAAGTAAATAAAAATAAAAACACAACATCTAAACACCTGACAATATTACATTCTCAGTGTTTAGCATCCAATAAAAACTTACTAGACATGCAGAGTAGAAAAAGTGACCCATAACAAGAAGAAAAAATCAGTCTATAGAAACAGATGCAAAAATGACAGAGATTATAAAATTAGCAGAAAAACAACTTTAAAAATGGTTATAAATATTTTCAAGAACTTAATAGAAAATATGAACATAATATGAAGATTTATGAAAGATGAAAGAAGCAAATGGAACTACAACTGAAAATACAATATTTGAAATGAAATATAAGCTGACTGGATTTGACAGAAAACACTACAGAAGTAAAAAATCAGCAAAATTGAACATACGTATTTATACAGTCTTAGTGATCTGTGAAACAATCTCAGACATTCTACATAATTGATACCCTAGAAGCACGAGGGGCAAAAAGTATTTGGAAAAAATAATGACAACTCTTTTTCCAAATGTGATGAAAACTCTAAACTCAAGAAGCTCAATAATCTCAAGCAGGATAAAAAGAACACCACATCAGGGCATATCATAATCAAATTGCTTTAAACCCATAACAAAGAAAAAAATCATAGAAACAGCTACAGAAAAAAAGACTTAATACCTATGAGTATATACTGACTGCAGAATTCTTTTCAAAAACAATGCAATGAGAAGACAATGTAGGGATCAGCACCCTCCCTCCCACACACACATATCTTTTTGAGGCTTGCCAGTTCAGTGACCCAGATCCTTTACCTCGCTGTTGTAACACCCTGCTTTAATCAAGTTTGCTTATCTGCCTGAAGGGGTGTATTTAACAGGATGAAAGAAAAAAAAGAAGAAGACATTATCAGTCTAGAATTCTCTACCTAGTGAAAATAACTTTAAAAAATGAAAAATAATGCGGAATTATTCAGACAAGAAACAGGTCAGAGAATTCAGGATCAGAAGACAAACACTACAGGAAATAAAGGAAGTTCTTCAGCTGGAAGGAAATTAATAACAAATAGTAACTAAGCAACACAAAGAAATGAAGAGCACTACGATTATTAAATACATAGCAAAATTTTTTAATTTTTTATTTCTAATTATTTTTAAAATAATCAACTATTTATTGCAAAAAAATTAAAATGTGCGATGCAGTGGATAACGTATAACCAATTAAAATGTATGACATCAATACCACAAAGGAGGCGAATAAAAATACATGTGTAACAATACATGAACTTGTATAATACTATTTGAAGGTAAACTGATAAATTAAAGATGAAAATTGTAATCCTTCCTAAGGAAATCCACTAAAAGAAGACAAAAAGTTATAGCTAATAAACCCATAATGTTGATATAATGGAATACTGAAAATTATTTCTACAAAAGAAGACATGAAAAGAGGATAAAAGAAGAAAGAACAGATGGGACAAATAGAAAACAAATAGCCAGATGGTAGAACTAAATTCAATCGTATTAATAGTTACATTAATTATAAAGTGTCTAAACACTTCAATTGAAAGAGGTTGTTAGACTGAAACTAGTCTGTGTCTATAACATATACACTTTGAATTAACAGCCAATGATAGGTTAAAAGTAAAAGAATAAAAATGATACAACACGTAAACACTAATCATGAGAAAGGAGTGGGTATATTAAGAGTGGACAAATGAGACTGCAGAACAGGGAATATTACCAGATGTGTGGAGCTCTGGCTCTCCCAGTGTGATCCCTGGCCCAGGTGCATCAATAACTCTTGTTAGAAACTTAGAAATGCAGATCTCAGGGGTCGGCGCCGTGGCTCACTCGGGAGAGTGCAGTGCTGGTAACGCTGAGGCTGCGGGTTCGGATCCTATATAAGGATGGCCCGTACGCTCACTGGCTGAGCGTGGTGCAGACCACACCGTGCCAAGGTTTGAGATCCCTTACCGGTCAAAAAAAAAAAAAAAAAAAAGAAAGAAA